GGGGGCGGGGATTTGTCGACTGCTCGCTTCGGCCGTCGGTTTGTCGATCGATCCGATTACAACGGAAGCTTAGAATTCGTGTTTATCTGGCCACAGGCTGTGTTTTTTTCCAGGTTACAACAGTGCGTGCGTTGTCACCGACCTTGTTCTTAAGATGACAAGATGCTACCGCTCCGTTTTGCGAACACGCGAACACGCAAGTGATAGATTCGACAACTGGTGTCATGGCTTCCTCTCTGATGTTTGCGAAACTTAGATACTCTGCTTGAACGGGCGGTCTCTATTCCGTTGTATGTACTCAGTTGCCGGACGTGTTTTGTAGTGTAGAAGTATTCCCATCCTAATGGCACATGGGAGAGGGAGAGAGCGGTTGTATGTTACGTCGTGTCTCTTTCGCTGCGGTCTGTTCATTGCTCACTGGGAGTCCTCGTTAGGCTGACTTGTTCGCAAGGGCACCGGCCTATCGTTGTATTGGTATTCGAAACCTTTCGAAACCTTTCGCAACCGTACCGAAGGCCACCCGATGCTACATCTATCTCCGGATTCCTCGCACACTGTGCCGGGGTTGGGAGATTCTCCGCTTTCACAGGTTAACCAGACTAGGCGGGTGAAAGGAGGTTGCATATGGGGTTTACATGTTCGTATGGAGACGGCGGTGTATGCGAAAGGACGGTGCAAGTTGTGTTAACCTGTTCGCATGCACACGGCGGTCTATGATTGTTGACGTTGTGACGCCTTCTTTTGGCAAAGGTGGCACGATCTCGAGCGAGGTTTTTCCGAGGGGACCGCGACCTGCTCCTCTACACCGGACGCGCTCACTTCTTCAACCGGTACTGTATCCGTGGCATCCACCACCTGATCTTCTACTCCCTGCCGGAATATCCTCAGTTCTATCCCGAGATGGTCAACCTGCTCGAGGTGAGTCACAGAGACAGATGTACTGCTGTGGATCGTTTTAGCGCCTGTTTTTTTCGTGTGGTGTCTCTCGTTTCCTTCCTCGACAGATCCCGTGGGCCACACTTCCGTTGTTTTCGTGTTTGATTGATTCAAGTATTTGGTTTTTGTATTGCGCAGTGCCAGAACGGCCTGCGTCGGAGCAGCTGATGGTAAATGCGTAAATACCGGCCTATGTACGCATACCATTCATGTCTCCTTAGAACGTACCAGTGCACAAACGGGAGAACCAGGTTGGGACCTTTCATCGTGTGAGCCAATCGACAGCAATGGAGGTTTTTGTGTTCAACAATGGGGTTAAGAGTCGAGCCATGACACTCACTATGCATATGAATAGGAGCCGAGACCGCACGATTGGACGGGACTCGACGAGCGCAAGATACCGTTTCTCACCACAGAGACCGTTCGTTTGCTGCCCCCCGTTTTCTGTTCTGCTGCACCCCATTTCTTTCCTTTGCGTTTTGTTTTGTTTTAGGAAGCGGAGAGCGTGACAGCGGTTACATGTCTCTCGCTCTTCACAAGGTTCGAGCGGCTAAGCCTCGAGCGCATCGTAGGCGAGGAGCGTGCGGGACACATGCTTGCCTCCGCCAAGAACACCTTCCTCTTCTGCTAACGCTGACGCTAACGCTGAGGATGAAGTGTGATCTGCCAAGTCTTATGGGACCTTCATGCCGCTTGCAGCAGCGTTTGCCGTTTGTTGGGTATCAGCTTTTTTTCATCATCGGCGCCTTGAGTTTCGCGTGATGTGACCGACAAGCCCGCGGGTCTTTGCTTTCAGATGGCTCGGCATTGTTAAATACTTCCAAGCAGCCGTGTTGCTTGCTTTCGAACAGCAGCTTTAGCAGTGTTGACCCGCTACAGTACGTATTTCGGACAAGGGTTAAACGTTAATCATGTGCCTTGGTGATTCTGAGTGCATCTAACGACTACGGCATGCACGACTATGAGTACACCCCCCCCCCCCCCCCCCCC